GATGTAAAAGCTTGACTAGCTAAACTATGAGCATACCATATTGCTACAACTTCTGTTATATTTATAAAAAATCAACAAATATTCTGTTTTACAGTTTAACAGTTTATTAGAGATATATAAATATTTAGACACTCTAAAATCTGAATATAGCCAAACTCCAGATATGAAAATTATACAATGTAAAAATTCTAATACTTAATGAACACATTAATAATTTACTTGATATCCATAATGGCACACAAATATGATTTTTAATCATCTAAATTGTAAAGACGGCAAGTTCAAGGCCAGGTGTTAAAATTATATTCCAAGGTTAAAATCTGGAGTGTAACCATTCCATCTTTGTCTCATCATTATAGACTGCTCTCTTTTTACCAGTTGCCTGATATTTCCATTTTTCTTTGCACTAGGGCACATCCAAAGCTCAAACTTTCTCACTCACTCATTCTGTCCTGAGGACACAGTGACCAGTCGAGCCCAGGCTAACAGTGGTTAGGCGTTCACTCCAAACTAAATATTTAGTTCCCTATAAAAGCTACAGGCTTTGTCTTGGTGACAGGTGGTTTAGGTTATGAAAATATAAAGCTGAGACGAGGGCGGGTTCACAGTCCAAGAAGGGGGACATATTAGACCACAAGGGCCTAACAAATGACAGTCTCGCCCTTTAATTACAATGCTTCAGGAGAGCTTGGAGGTGAGGCTGAAATACAAGCTCCTCTAAAAACAAAGACTGTTAGTAACGTACCCTTTTCATCACAGAAAAGAAAACAACAGAAGTCCATTAAACTCGGAGTTTAATACAAAGCCAAAGAATGATAGAGGGAAGAAAGAAAGAAAGAAAGAAAGAAAGAAAGAAAGAAAGAAAGAAAGAACAGGTATATTAAAATGTTTCATGTGATAATAAAAAAATAATTTAACTGGTTGTTGTATTCAAGCAAACAATATTGTTTAAAAATAATTATTATAAGGATTATTTAATTTATTTTTAAGGGTCAAAACAGGTATGACAGGAACTTCACATTTTTACCAGTGTTATTTTAGTATTATTTATATACCATTGTATATTTTTTTATTAATATTTTCAGTTACTTTAATTACATTTATTTTTAAAACTTTAAAAAGTTTAGTTTTAGTGTTTAGAGTGTTTAGTGTAATCATTTCCAGTTTCATTTCAACTTTTTTCATTTAGTTGCCAAGGCAAACATTTTTTTTTATTAGTTTTTCATCTATTATTTATATTTTATTTTAGATTTAAATTATTTCAATGAACAAAAATGTCTTTAGTTTTAGTTGACGATAATAACCCTGCTTTCCACAGTGCAAACAAAAGGAATAAAAAAAGGATAAAACTAAATATTTTTAAGTTTAACAAGTTAATTGTTTAATAATAATCAAGTCTTTTTATAGTCTGGTAAAAATAGCTAAGTAATTGGACCATGCTTGTTGATCTAGTTTATGTTGTATACGAAAACTAAATAAAGTACAAACAAAAAAAAAGCTAAGTAAAAATGTGCAAGAACTGTACACTTTCACTTCTTACAGTGAAAGAAAGAAAAAGACAACTGTGTTTTGTCAAACTAGACCTGGACAGTCAATGATTCAAGTGTTAGTCTAGGTCGTACAACACAGATTGGTCAATTTGATTGGTCACAGTGGTCTCTTCCTTTTCCATTCCCTCAAGCACAGGTTCACCTGACAATTACATCATGTCTGGTTTCCCCTAGCAACCAGACAGCCCTGGACGTGACCATCAAGGAGCAAATGAACGGAAACATCCCCCCCCCGATCATTTGACTACTTCTTACTTCTTTCCCCCTCCCTCTCAGCTCATGATACTCTCAAAGGGACACAGACACAAATCTAGATGAGAGCCAGAAAAGTTCTGACTTTCCCTAGTGCACAACTCACATGCAAAACAACAGTAAGAGAAGAACCTTAACTGCTGTTAGGCTGAAGTTTTTCAAGAAATGATCTCTAATGCACACGAACACACACTAGTCCTCCAGTACTCATTGATCACTCTTCTGTCTCTCTCTCTCATCACACGGTTCAGTCAAGTGCATTTACACTTTTTTATGGAGCTGAAAGCACTGCAATGCAGCAGCGCACTCAAACTCCTGAGCCATGCAGTTCAATCACCTCCACAGTTCAGATTTTACCTGAGCACTGCCGCATTCCCCAGCCAAATCTCAGCTATTACTTATGGAAGACCTTTCAAGTGCTTATTTATGGGCTCAATTCCTATAGGATTCATGAAGCATCACAAAAAATGTCAGATGCTATTTTGTGCCTTTTAATCAGGTCAGGATTTTGCTGAGCATGCAAAAGTTTCTCATGTGATTAATAAATATGACGGCTGAATTCATAGGATTATATAGTGGACTGCAAAAAACCCATTAGTTTAATAATTTTTTTGTCTTGTTTTCTGATAAAAATAATAAAATAATAATATAATATATATCATATAATAATAATAATCAAGCAAATAATCAGTTACTATGATTAGCAGGGTCATTCCGTGTCAACTCAACCAGAGGTCCCCGGCTCAAATGTATGATTTTGCTAATATTTTTTCTGAAGAAATATAAACACGATAAACAAAGCCAAAATATTAAATGTCGTGGATGAATATTTACTGAGTAATCCGCTTTTTTGTAGAGGAGGGTCAAAATGGCAATTTTCACCTGAGAGTCAGAGCCAATTTACAGGGGGCTAAAAATGACTTCAGAAAGATGGCAGCATCATAATGTTACTTTTACACAGAGATTGGTAGGTCTATTAGTAAAATCTGTTGACTTTAGCAATCTTTGTTGCATTATGTGCCAATGGTGACCGTTCAGAGCACTTATCAAGTTTTATCTCCAAAGTTTGCAGGCCTGTAACTCAAGAAGTATTAAAGATATCTTAATGCCCTTTTAGATTTTGGGTCTTAACAAACATTTCTTTTGACGTCTTCATTTTTAAGGCCCTATATTGTTCAGTTCCAGATATATTGTAATTTCAATGTGACTCCAGGAGTAAATTGTTAAATTGTACACATTTTCAGTGGTCAAAAAACAAATGTGGGTCAATTTGCAAAAATATGATACTTCTTTTCTTTTAAAGAGGAATGTCTGAAGAACAAATAATGTTGAAACTAGAGATGTATCTCATTTTCTTCTGTCAAAACAACTGCATTGAAAGTAACTGTCCGAGTGCCATAAATATTCTTTTTCCAAAGTTATATAGCCTATATGAAGGTATATGAGCCTATAACTCGAGAAGTCTTAAAGATATCACAATATGATTTTAGATTCTAGTTCTTAATATACTTTTCTTATAGAAACTTCATTTTCAAGGCCCTACATCATTCAGTCCCATAGATAGGGGGGTCTCAATGAGGCTCCAGATTGGTCAAAAACCAAATGTTGGTCACGGATTCTATATTTGTATAATTTTCAGGGATATTTGGAAGAAGGGTTTTTGTTCATTTTAACAGCTACCAAGAGTTCAAACAGTATTGTAACATGTTTGAAACAAATCCCATGCCTCCTAGGGAAAAGTAGCTGCTTTTACCACACATTGTATTCACATCAGTAAACCAAGATTTTTCCTCATCTGGATTAATTGTTAAAATTTATTTTTCTTTTTTATTGTAATATAATGTGAAACTTCATCAGATTAAGTAGTATCTACTGCTAAAGGGCATATTTGGCAGAATCACTGATAGTACCTCAAACCTTTAAGATCTCTCACACTTGGAATAATTAACACTGGGTAATTCTAAACCCCAGGTAAATGGGATCCTGAGTAATCATATTTTACATTTCACACTGTGCATATTTTACCTAGAGTTAACAATTAATCCTGGTCATTCATAATCTGACGAATTCTTCAGATATTCTGCTTTATATACAACTACATAAAAGTGTTTGTCAAGACGTAAACTTTAGTATAATGACTTATACTGTGTTTTTACGCGTTGCGTATCGTGCCACGTAAACATAAAACCATGTCTGCATTTGTGATCGTTTATAAAGAATATCTCTTTGGATTTGAGACTTTAGTCTTTGCAACTTTACAGATCTTCTTTATGCACCAAGAGCTTGTAACACTCCAAAGAGAAAAGAAAAATTGAAATCGCATCATATGACCCCTTTCAACAATATGAAACCTCATTGAGACCCCCCTATCTTTGGGACTGAATGATGTAGGGCCGTGAAAATTAAGATTCCAAAAGAAAAGTTTATTAAGAACTAGAATCTAAAATCATATTGCAATATCTTTAAGACTTCTTGAGTTATAGGCACACAAACTTGGGAAAAATAATATTTATGGCACTCGGACAGTTATGTTCAATGCAGTTGTTTTGACAGAAGGAAATGAGATACATCTCTAGTTTCAACATTATTTGTTTTTCAGACATTCCTCTTTAAAAGAAAAGAAGTATCATATTTTTGCAAATTGATCCACATTTGGTTTTTGACCACTAAAAATGTGTACAATTTAACGATTTACCCAGGAGCCATATTGAGATCCCAATATCTCTGGAACCAAGCCATATAGGGCCTTAAAAAAACATGCCAAAAGAAAAGAAAGAGCCAAAATCTAAAAGGGCATTAAGATAACTTTAATACTTCTTGAGTTACAGGCCTGCAAACTTTGGAGAAAAAACTTGAAAAGTGCTCTTTCCCCATTTTTGAACGGTCACAATTGGCACATAATGCAACAAAGATTGCTAAAGTCAACAGATTTTACTAAAAGACCTACCAATCTCTGTGTAAAAGTAACATTATGATGCTGCCATCTTTCTGAAGTCATTTTTAGCCCCCTTTAATTTGGCTCTGAATCTCAGGTGAAAATTGCCATTTTGACCCCCCTCTACAAAAAAGCGGATTACTCAGTAAATATTCATCCATGACATTTAATATTTTGTCTTTCATTACTATACATGCTTATCTTTCTTCAGAAAAAAATATTAGCAAAATCAAAAATTTAAGCCAGGGAAGTTTCTGAAATTTGGTTGATTTGACAGAAAAAAATGTTAAATAATTCCTCAGACATTCTATGAATTACCCATATATTGGTTAAGGTGTTGTATCTACATTGGCTGTATATTTAATGTGAAAGGCTACATTTCATTTGGCAGCTGAGGGTCCAGCGGTAGATACTGTATCTGCTCATTTCTGATCTATAATTGAACACAGGAGGCTTGGGTCTCTCAGAGGGTCCAGACTAGCGCTGCTGTAGTGTTTCCTCAGGGCACTGGGGTTCAAGGGAAATTTTCAAATACTGCTTGAAATCAAGATTGAATTTTTAACATTTTCATGGTGGTTAGGTTTCTGAAAGTTATCAAGAAAAAGAAAGTTTTCAGTAGTTAAAATGCAGTTATTCAGTTTAGTCTATAATAAGCATTACAATTTCATTTGAGGTGTGTGTGTGTGTTTGAGGGGGGATGATCTGTGAGTTTGTGTGTGAATAAAATGTATATTGAGGTTTGTGTTGTGATACCTGTGCCTGATACAAACTGCCAGTGTCTCGAGAACCAATTCCTACAAAGGAGCGGTTGGCAGGTGGCGTCCCGGGAGCAGAGTATGCTGAGAGAAAGAGAGCAATTGGGATTGAAATGGGAGCATAAAGTTATTCTCAAATTCTCAACATCATGCAAATCTCTGTAAGGTATAAGCAGTGATATCAGTTTCAAAATCTGGTTCCTGGTGGATTTAGTGTTTAAAACACACAGTTTAATATTACTATATTCAGTAGAGATCTAAAATGCAGTTTAAGGGCATATGGCGTGCATCTGTTTCACACAGGCACCAAATTGATGCTGAAACTGGGTCACAGTTTCTGTTTGTTACCGTCAAGACTGTGTAAATAAATATTCTGTGTGGCGGAGGCTCATTCTGTTGTCTGCTTATGTAAATCCAGTATGTTGTTAGTGAATGTGCGCCTTCATCTCTTAAAGACTGTATTCTCAGCAATTACGGAAGCTGATGTGCTTTCTTATGTTTCTTTGGAAATTCTCCTTGTCTTGTTGGTAAATAAGGAACACACAACATAATCTACGCATCCATCTTTATCAAACGGGCCTTTGGATAAGCTGACGTAATTACGGGACGTGATTCTAGCTGAATAATCATGTCGAGCATTGAGTCTGACTGTGCGAGATGGCGTATCGAGGCGATTGATCATCTGGGATTCTGCAGCACAGCAGATAGTGAACATATTGAGCTGTTCTCTGCATTAATAATTAAATTAGCATGATTAATGGACAGGGCAGCAAGCACTGGTCCATTAAAGCTGATCGACTTGTCATCCAAATGTATCTGTGTTTATATGGTTTACTGATGGAAAGACACTTTCTTTGTTTCTCTAACACTGAAATTTAGCGTTTATTTAACAGACAGTTCACGTTGAAGCTGTTTTAAAATATATATGAATGCGCAGAGTTGCAACGTTGCCTGGCAACTGTAAAAAGCCAATAGTTATGCAAATTAACTACAAAAAACACGAAACATTGTTTATTCTGATTATTAACAGAAATAAATAATTCAAAAAAAGTAAAAATATAAATAAATGCACTACCATTTTTGAAAGAAGTCTCTTATGCTCACCAAAGTTGCTTTTAAT